GCGCTCTGGAGGCCTTGGAGCGGTTCAGGTGGGCCACGCAGTGTGTCATAAATGAAGCAGGAGGCGTGTTCGGATTGCAGGTGCAACAGCAAAGATATGCTTTTGCATGAGACAGCTTCTCAGTCTGCCCACGTTTCATGCTGGCGCCAGCACGGGAGTAGCCTCCTCGGGAAGCTGAGATGAGCAATCCTGTAAAGCCAACCTTTGAAAGCCTGTACAAGTACACATCAGTTGGAGAGAATCCTCACAATCCAAGCGATCACGAGGACACTTCCGCGGTCAAAACCTCCATGGGCCACTAGACTCTTAGACAAGCCAGATAGCGTTCTTGACATGTCGACTTACGGCTGGAGCTATGCTCCGACAAACCGGGCGACCTGCAAGGGTAAATGTGGAGAGAAGATTGCCAAAGGAGCTGTCAGGCTTGGTGTGAGCAGTGAAGTCGGAGACCACACGATGGTGAGCTACCGCTGCCTCGCATGTGTGACCGACAAGCAGGTGGCAAACATCATTTCGAAGATGGGATCCCTAGACAGCGTCGATGGCTTCGATGGTCTCGAAGAGGCCGACCAAGAAGCCGTGCTGGAAAAGGCCCCCGGCGGCGGCGGGGTGAAGGCCAAGGCCAAGGCCAAAGCTTCGGGCTCCAAGGCGGTACGGAAGGCCGCGGCTAAGCCGGAAGCAAAGGCCAGGGCTCCCAAAGGGAAAGCCGCCCCGAAGGAGAGGGCAGCTCCCAAAGGGAAAGCCGCCCCGAAAGAGAAGGCAGCTCCGAAGCGGAAGGCCATTCCACCAGCTGCCAAGCAGCACGAGTTCCTGGACAAGGCGAAAGAGTATGACCTGAAGGCGGTAAAGGACATGTTGGAGGAACACCCGGACCTCATCAATGTGCAGCCGGCCGGGAGGTGGTCAGCCCTTCACCAGTTTGCAGAGAAGGGTGATGTGGAGGCCGTGAGGTATTTGCTGAAGATGGGTGCCGATCGGAATGTCAAGACGAAGGATGGACAGACGCCAGAAGAAGTGGCCCATGAAGATGTGCAAGACATCTTCAATGAAGCAGAAGAGGCTGAAGAGGACGAAGAGGAAGCAGAGGAGGAAGATGAGGAAGCTGAGGCGGAAGAACCCCCTGAAGAGGAGAAGAAGGGAACCAAGAGGAAAGCGCCCGAGAAGCCTCCAGCTTCGCCGGTGAAGGTGACGAAACCGGCTGAAGCATCACCATCTCCAGCGAAAAAGGCCAAGACATCACGTCCTGTGGATGCGGCGGTGCCAAATCGGGATACCTTCTCGGTGGCTGGCGATTGGTCTGTGCTCTTGAACCAGACAAATGTTGGTGCCAACAACAACAAATTCTACAGGATACAAGTTCTCGAAGACATGAAGTCGAAGTATTACTGTTGGACCCGCTGGGGACGTGTCGGAGCAACCGGACAGAGCAATCTAAGTCCCTGCCCGAGTGAGGAGTCAGCTCAGGCCATGTTCAAGTCGAAGTTCAAAGACAAGTCCGGTGTGCACTACGACATGAAGGACGCCCACGACTGGAAGCCAATAGTTGGCAAGTACACGCTGGTAGACACGGAGGAGCAAGAGGGAGATGGAGGCGAGTCAGCGCCTCTTGGCAAGCTCACAGAAAATCAGATCGAGAAGGGGCAGGAAGTTCTTCAGCGAATTGAGACTGCCCTGGCAAAAAAGAATGACAAGCAGCTGGTGGACCTCTCCTCGGAGTACTACACCTTGATTCCGCATGACTTCGGCTTCAAGGTGCCTCCTGCCATCAAAACGTCAGCGATGCTCGAAGCGGAAGAGGAACTTCTGAAGTTCTACCTTCGCATGGGCTTCGAGGAGGTGCAGGCAGAGGACGATGGACTCCTTCCAATCAGTGGGGTTATGTCCCTGCCCCTTCCAAAAGACCTGGAAACGGCTTGTTCTGGAATCTGCCCCGCGGGCAGCATCAAGAGCTCCATGGCACGCGGAAAGAAGCACCAGGAGAAGCAAAGCGGTGGTCCTTCGACGGCGATGGAATCCCACCTCTATGGTGCAATTATGTTGTACACCTCGAATGCCATCTACAAGCAGTTGAATGCTGCTCTGCGAAGTGAGGATCGGAATAAGATCAAAAAGTACAAGCCGTACCTGAGGCTTCTCTTTGAAGCACTCAATCGCCTGCCACAGCAGACGCGGACTTTGTGGCGGGGTATTGGTGTAGATCTCTACGACCAGTATGCAGTTGGATCCACCATCACATGGTGGGGTGTCAGCAGCTGCACGTCGGACCAGCAGGTGGCCAAGAACTTCATGAAAGGCTGCGGCAGTGCTTGCACATTACTCACAGTCAAGACCAAGACAGCCGCTGACATTTCTGAGATAACATTCTACGGGAATGAGAAGGAGAGTCTGCTTGCCCCGGGAACACAGCTGAAGGTGGTCAATTCTGTGCGGAAGGGCAAGGTCTCTGAGATATCACTGGAAGAAGTCGGAAGAGCAGTGGATTGAATTACTAGTGTGAGCAGTTTTACCGAAATTACCGAACTGTCGCACCAAGTTGTGCTGTTGTTGCTGCTGTTCTGATGAAGAAAGTCACGAGAATGACCAGAAAAAAACACAAACAACTTGTGTCCACTTAGTTTCACAATGCAGCGCTTGCAGTTCTGGAGCCTTGTTTGTGATGTCTATTCAAGTTTGGTTTTCCTCATGAGGCTGGGTCTAGTTATGCTTTGGGTAGGCTCCGGAAGTGCTTTAGGCTGGATCGGTTCTAGTTGTCACACCAACAAAGCTTCGAACCTGCGGAGCCTCACCTGGATCGCGGCGTTGGCAGAGGTTGAAATGAAAAGGCCACCACCTCCTCCTGCATGTCCCAGGGTGAGAGACCTGTCAAAACGCTGCAGGGAAGCCTACTTTGCCTACGCCTCCGCGTTCTCCTTGGATCCCGGGGATAGCCTGATCCGTGCCGCCTTCGACCGTGTTAGCCGTCGCTGGGCAGAATGGAGATTCAACCCTGATCCAGAGAACTCCCCTTACCCACGACTTTGCACCGAAGCTCGACCTCACAGTTTACTTCAACCACAAGACGGAGTTCCAGACTAGCATCATGAAGGCAGAAAAGCACCGCACGGTCGTTGTTTTCGGCACTGCTTTGCTCGTTGATGCCTTCTGAGGTTACGATGCTTTGGAGCTGGGAGAAGACTTGAGCTACGGCATGAGCAGCCGGTTTGTTGTCATAAGCGGCACTCAAAAAGCATGTTGATGCACCCAGCGCCCTGAGTGCCCAGCCACTTCTCAGGAAAGCGCAGATCGACCGTGCTGCGAAGACAAGGTGCAGAGCCGACGTGTTGGTGACCTGCTGGGCTGCTGAGACATTGTGTGTGTGTGTGTGTGTGCTCGCCGACATCCTGAAAGCTATTTGCCTAAAAGCCTAGAATCCTAGAAGCCAAACACATTTCTAGCCCTTCCGGCCTGAAAGCCATCGCGAGCACTCTTACCTGCGAGGGGCCGTCAGAAGCCCACGGCCAGTCCAAGAGTCGCAGGCCACGCCGCTTTGGGAGCTGCAGCTTGCAACTTGCGGCCTGCAGATAGAAGAACTTAGACTTAGCCCTGTCAGGTCAGAGCGCGAAGACGGCAAGTCCGGCAGCTTGCTGGAGCAATTCGGTTCATAGGCATGCGTGACCTCAGCCCGAAAGCTGGATTCGAATGATCGCGAATCGCGACAAGTGCAAGTCTTGGGCCTTTTTTACCGCTTGCTCAAGGCAGGCTGTGAGGGCTCTACGTGCTGCCACTGCTCCGCTGCCTGGCAGAGAAAGAGAGAGAGAGAGAGAGAGAGACCGCCTGGGAGTGAACATCTCTGAACTGCACCGAGGGAAGTTGTGTGGGGGGCGACTTCTTGGCATCGCCTTGTGGCCATGGTCCTTTCTGTGGTCCTTGCCGTCGGCGAGTCGAGGAGGAACCGGAGAACGAAAGACAGTTTTTGGAGTGTCAGCTCGTGGTTTTGGATGGCACCAGATTCAAGTCAGCCCACGTGTGATCAATGCCATCTGTTGAAGGAAGGACGGGGCCTACGTCTATGCCCCGTCTGCCGCAGTCTCAGTGTTCACGCCTTTGCGGGGCAACGTGTGTGGCCTGACCCAATTGGTTTATTGCTTTCTGGGGAGGCCGTGGCTGCGATGCACCTGCCCAGTGCGTGCTCATCAGTGAATGGGCCGCTTGATGCGGTCGTGGGATTCAGCGGTTGCACGAGATGTTAATTTGGCCCATTCTCAAATCATCTCAAACCTCAAGTGCCCCTGAGGTCAGCGCTGAAACCCTCAAGGCCTGCATCTGCTTCGGTCCTCGATGTTCTTTCAAAGAGCACGCAGCGAACTTGCAAGCTGTGAGCTACGAGCCCTGGAAGGCTTCCGAGCCTGCGTCGAAGAGCCGTTCCCGGGCTGTGAGTGAGTTTTGGGTTTCACAAGCTTCTTTGGTTGGTATTTGAAGAGGAAAACCGTCCTCCAAGAGCCGAGGCCGTGCCTTCGGACCCCGGCGCCCGCCCGAGATGGCGAGGGAGGCACGTGCATTGAGACTTGGTGTTTGGGCTGCGAGCTAAACGCCTGCAATTCACTTCAAGACCCCACGTCTCCCAGCACGACCTGAAGCCCTGGTCCTCATCCATCGAAGCTGGCTGACCAAATGCATATAGCGCGGCTTGCAAACCGCCTTCAGGCGGCACGGCTTCAAAAGACATTCCCGCGCCGCTTCGAGGATACCGTTTTATGCATCTGGTGGCCGTGCTGCTTCCCAGCTGATCTCCAGGGGGTTCAAAAACGGCAGGTGGGGGCAGTGAGCCCGACAGCTCAGAGAGAGGTTCAGAGATTTCTGTGTGGTGCTGCAGGACAACGGGCCTGAGCCTGCAGCCGCTGAGAGCCTGCGGTTTCTGGAGCTCATGGACTGACGCAAAGAAAGTCCGCTTTGTGACCTGTGGGGTCTCCTACGAGGGGCGTCGCGGGAAGGCGGCTGTGCGCTTTTATATTACCTGCGAGGCAACCGTGGGAGCCAGAGGTCAGGAGCCAAGCTCGTTTTCGAATGTTGGGATTGGCTGCTAAGTGCGGCCGGGGCATCTTGCCAGTCGTTTTCCTGTGGGGACTCGGAAATGCAGCTGCTCGCATGAATTCGGTAAGTCCCAGTGCAGCTGAGCCATGATCAGTTGCTTGATTGCTAAAAGCAGATCAGGTTTCACTTCCTTGAGGGTCGAGTTTTGATCCGTTTAGGCAGAGCCCTCCGCGGCGCAGCAGTGCCACTGGCGCTCTTGGCGCTGCTCGGTGCGTTGTCTGGCGTCCCTGGGGCTGCAAGCATCTGTCACCATCACACATATAGCACAGTGCACTCAGTGTTGACACGTCTTTGCAGCCCTTGCTACTTGTAGGGTTTGGTCCCTCCTCTCTGTCCTTGTAGCGCTCCAATCTGCCCTGGTCGAACCCAATCTCGGCGGAAGGCGGCGACGTTCACGGGCCTGCATGCACGGCCTTCACCGGCGAAGACCCCGAGAAGCGGACTGCAATTCAATGTGCGGGGACCCAGTTGGGGGCGCTCTCGGCTGCGAGATGCTCCTATGGAGCTGATTAATTGCTTTGCAGCGCGGGCTGAGGAGCGTGTTTTCCGTGCGGTACAAAGGGTTAGCTGGTGCATGTGTCCAAGCGACGGAGGGCCGGCACTGAGGGCTTTGAAGGCTTCAAGGAGTCCTTTACATTCTTTAACCAAGAGGTTCCAGGCAGTGAGACACCGTGCTGCACATCTGGCACATGAGGAAGACGTCAAGAACATAGTCGCACCCAAGCGTGGTGGCCGGCGGCAGACTGAAGAGGAAGAGGAGGCGAGTGCACATCAGTTGTGAGACTTGACTTGCTTCGAAACTTACGGAGCGTGATGATGGCGAACACGTGAAGAAGGCAGCAGCAAGGCTGGGTCGTAACAGGTCTAGAATCTAGAGGCAGTGAGAGCGTTTCGACCGTGAGGGTCGGAGGCTCAGAAGTCGCTGGTACTAGGGTTTTTTGAAACAGCAGGAAGGGTAATACTAACACTGGTAATAAAAAAGTGCCTTTTGAGTGAGGTTTCCAGGCATACCTTGTTTCTATGGTGCCCGAATGCGCCCGACGTATGGTTTGGGGAACAACTGGGAATCTCGGGGGAGCCGTTCTGTTGGCTTGGAAGAAAGCGACAAAGTCGCGACGAACACAAAGCTACCGGCAGCCTCGACTCCAGGAGGCGGAGGAAAGGCGACGACAGGCTGAGGATGCTTTGCTTCTAGAAAGCGTGCTTGGGGGTTATCAGTTATCAGAGCGGGAGAGGTGCGTAGACTGGCATGCAATCTCCGGAGCTAGATGCTGTCGCAGCTTGTCGAAATCCGAGCTCTCCAAGACGGCAGTCCCTGCAGATTGTCGCATTTGTCGCATCCTCCAGCCTGATTTCGCCAGAGCAAAGCTCTTTCGCGCCTAGCTCGCGGAAGGAGCGTGCCGAAAAGATACGGCAGATGGAGGAGTTGGAGGAACAGGCCCGCCGCAGTGCAGAAGACCCTGGGAGAGGGGGCAGTCTTCCATCGGCATCAGCATGGAGCTCATGGGTTTGAGCTTCAGTCACAGTGGTGGCAGGAGTCTGGCGTTGTGACCCCCGTGCTCTACCCCATCGCCAAGAGGTTCCCTCGTCTGTCGCGACAGGCGGGAGAGTGGACAAAAGCGGTGCACAATGCTCTCCGGACTGCGCATGCCTTGCGCCTTGCGCCTGCCTTCAGGATCTGGGCCGAAGCCTTGCCATGAGGCTCCTCGGTGCAAGTTTCGTTGCGCTTCAATATTGGAGTTTTCGGCATCTCAGGAGATGGATCAAGAAGGGCAGCCTGGCAGACAGAACGGGCGAATCAAAGGTTGTGTCTTGTACCAGGCTGGGCAGGTGCCAGAGGGATTTGAGTCGTAAGGCTTTGGCTGCGAGAATGACCAGCCACTTGCAGTTTCTGACATCTGAGGCAAAGATCAGGGTTTCACGACGGTGCCCTTCTCGGCCGCCCTGCGCCGCATGGCCAAATAGATGATACAAGACGTCCCTACAGTCTGCCTCGGAAGCCTGTGCTTTTCGACTTTTTCAGTGATTCGATTGCAGGACGCGTGCATGCTCAGCTGCTCTTTCTCTAGGACGGTTGCCCGTAATGATCCTCCTCGCAGCTCCGTCCCTTGCCGTGTAAAAATGCTGGTCACAGGTAGAGAGCCGCTCCTCAGGTCACGTGGTGCCGAATCCGGATGTGGATGTGGCGCTGGTGAGTCGCAGAGAAAAGACGGACAGAATGAGCAAGGAGGGGCTGATCCATTCATGTACACTGGAAACCCTGACTGACTAAAACTCGACTGTACCGTACCAAGCAACTCTTTGCACAACTGAGGGAAAATTAGCTTCAAAGCCCTGTCTGGCAGGCTTGGCAAGCGAAGCTCGAGGACTACGAGCACGGGTGGATGCTGAGGGCATGTCGGCTGGCTCGGTGTAGTCTCCGTGTTGTTAATGGTGCGTGCCATCTGACAGAGCAGACGTCACGGCACTACGCATGTGGACATAAAGGGGTTTACCTTACACCACGCTGAGGTGGGTCTCTGAACAAGGCTCCATGTCACGGACATCGGGCAGAGACACAGAGAAAGCTTGGCAAAGCCGCAGGAGCTGCCCCTCTTCGACATCGCCGGGCTGGCAGCGACCCCCGAGGATCTGGACCCCTTGGAGCCGGCAGCGGCCTCCAACTCTATGGAGTAGTGAGTCTCATAGTCGTTGCAAGCCAGTTGAGAAAAGGTTTAGGCTAATACAAGGTGGAGTAGAGCCATGGAGGTTCTGAGGCTCGCAGGGTGCTCTGTCGCCTTCCTGGATCCTCGTTTGCTTTGCTTGGGGCCAACGATATCGTGACTTGTCTGTAGGCTGTTCAGAGACCAGAGCTTTATTTCGTCCTAGCCCCTGTGTGCCAGATTGTTACTAGGAAACGGTCGGCAATGAGAAACCATGTGGTCTGCACACAGCGATGCATGTCGGGCAATGCAGACATGCTCACCTCCTGTTTAACGACGGCTGGAGAAGAAGAACTGTTATCCTTACCTGGCATATGGACGGTGGGCACACGCAGCGGGTGGAGCTGTGACTCGCAAGCCGCACTTAGAACCACATGCTTGGGGATTTTTACATGCTTGGGGATTTTTCCAAGCCGCAACCTGCACTGCACGCCTGAATCGCTTCATGGAGCCGTTTCAGGCCTCCTGTCAACAAACGGGCCACCTGGGGGAATGGCAGACCTAGAGTGTAAGCAAGTGTCATTCCAAGGCTTGGGAAGCACCCTTGGATGAGTTGCCGACAGACGAGGCTCTGGGTCTGGGTATTTGCTTTTTGAGCTGCGTCGAAACTCGTAGCTTCTGTTTCGGAATTCCTAGATGCACCCAATCATGGCTACACGTCCCCCTGCTGATGCCAAACACACGTGAATGGCACATCATCATCCTTGGGCATCTCGCTTCGAAAGAAGCACGGCCGCAGGAGCTCAAGCAAGATCTCCAGGATGAGAGAGTGCTACAGGCGATGCAGATGCTTGGCATGCAGCTTCCAAGGTTTCCCGGGCTTCGTGTCAGCCAGATCAGTGCTGTGTCCCCTTCCTCGGTCTGTGTGGCTTTGGTTCGATGCAGCGAGGCCAACATCACTGGTCGGCTTTTCCCCCTAGCCCGAGCAGCCAGAAAGACGAAGTCTGCGTTAGCACAAAGTCTCAAAGTCTTCTTGCAAAATCCGTGCTCCAACCGTAGCACCATCGGGCTGTGTTCACCAAGGAGGCGCTTCCTTCGCAGCGAGGAGGACCTTGCGCGCCTGGCAGAGGCGAAGCTGATCCCGCAGCATACATCTTGCTGTAAGAAGTGCCTCGAGTGGACAAGCGGCATGCGGGGCCCTGTCTTGAGCGCCTTGACACGGCTTTGTGTTCCAAGCCTTTTTGCCCTCACAAAAGGAGTTTGCCCAGGGGTGGCTGTCACAGGATGGCAGCGGTGCCCGAGTCCTCCGTGAGATCCTGGCAGAGCTCCCGGCGTCCATGGTGACCGAGGTGTGGCCTTGGGGAGCGGCGGAGGGTTTGGACAGATGAGAGCAGCCCGTAAGTGCAACTCGCCTGCTGCCGCAAACATCTCTTTCTGCGTGTCCAAGATTTCGCGCTTTCCTTTGGCCTCTTGAGGAGAACAGGGAGCTGATCCGTGAAACGGTGAAGCAGGCTGGCGATGGCCGCGATTATCCGAAGTGGAGAGCCAGTCCAAGCGAGTCCCGTTAGTCGGTGCTCTTGTGAGAAGCCTTGCGAAGCCTCGGACCGGGAGCAAAGCTGTAATAGGGCGGGAGTCGACCCCAGATCAGCTGCGAGCAGCTGAAGGTGCTTGCCGTCATGTGGGCGGTGCACGCCACGACGAACTCCACGCAGCTCAGGCCAGGACTTGGCAACCTCACCAGGGTGATAGCCGCCAGAGCAGAAGGTACAGTACCCTAGCAAGGAGGTGCCGCGGCAAGTGATGCCAGCACGGAACAGCCGGAGTCAAAGAGCTAGAAGTGACTACGAGGTGGCGTCTGGCCTGCACCGACGACAAGTTGGAGGCAGCAGCACTACGTGGAGTTTTTGGCAATGGCAGGGGTCGGAGCGGGTCTCATGTTCTCTTCAGGGAAGCAGTGCTTGAACTCATTGCGGTCTTGTGCTAGCATGACCCATCATGCGCCACGTAAACCCCGAGCACCTCCACCCATGGACATCCAGTTTCAGCACCATCCTTCATCCCCACGGTGCCTGCAGATTGGAACCCAACCCAATGAAACTGTCACAGCTTCGGCCGTAATGCCTTGATGCCAACCCATGCACTTCCAACCGCAAGAAAACATTGCCGGCATCCGCCCTCAACCGCTGCCCCATCGTCACATGTTGACAGAGGGGTGGTAGCGTCACAAGCTTCATCTCCGCTAGAATGATTATCGAGGTGGTGCTGGTGTCTTTGGTTGATGTGGCATACAGAGGTAAACTGTCTTGGGTGCGGTTCTTAGAGTTGCACTGATTTGTTGCAATTGTGCGAAGCCTAAGCCGGGTTAGTTTCAGTCCAACTCAACTCTATATTTTGTGTTTTGACTTCAAATTCGTGACTTGGTGAAGGCTGCTCCCGACCGCAATCTGAGTACATACATGGGCAGCAAGTGTCCTCGCACTAATCGAGTCTCTGAAGAGGCCCCTACTCCGGACACGTCACTGCGGGCTATCTTGCTCCTGGCTGGAGAAACTTGGACGAAGCGCATGATCGACAAACAAGCTGGAAAGTCGTCTGAGCTGATTCGCAGACAAGACTCGAGTATGCTTCTCTGATGCAGCTCCCGTCTGCTGTTCTACGAGCTGACGGGGGCCACACCACTATACCCTGTAATACCGCTGCGTGGAATTGCCTGGCGTGTTCTAGAGTGGCAGCTAGTTTGGCAGAGTTCGTTGATCCGGCAAGCCCGAGTTCAACCAAGGAAATGCTGGAGTTCATTCCGCAGCAGCTAGTCGACCGCGAGAAGGCTCCTTGCCCCAACATGCGCCGCATATCGTGATATCTACCACCAGAAGGGTTCGACCTACAACAGACATCACACTTCCCGGCATCAAGGTTCTTGAGTAATGCATTTTGCGAGTCTCCGGGCCAAAATCAGCATGACGCACCGTTCTGACAACGGAGCGGCAATTGCAAGAGCAGAGTCTTCGTCGTCGTCGTCGCAGGCCAGATCCGTTGTGGCACAGGCGAGCCTCGGCATTCCGGAAGTCTTGCCAAGGTCTCCGCCGAGCAGCTGCTTTCCGCCGAGCAGATCCGGCGAATGGACTCACAGGCTGGGGCCCACGCGCATGGATGGACTTTGCCTTCCACGTTTTTTTGGAAGGCCTGGGCTGCCAGCTTGGCCAAGTCTGGTGTCAATGCATCCCAGGCGAGGTGTCGACTTCCATTTCGGATCGCTTCGCTCGCTGCATCTGCTCGCTGGAACAGCTTGGTGATCGCTTGCCTCTGTCCGGGGCAGGCTTGCAAGCAAGTCCCTCCGGGGTGGCTGAGCGTGCTGAAAGGGGAGAGCTGGCCTGGAATGAAGGATCGAGGCAGGGTATCTGCCGATCGTCGAGCATGGACATGTATGGACTAGCAGGCTAACACGGCTAACATGTGCAGCGCTGCGCCTGACAGGTGCGGTGTACCGGCTGCCGCAGTCGGGCAAACGACTCTACATCGAGGCCGCGCAGCCTGGCACCAGCAGCACAGATCACCGCAGCCTCCGGGCAGGTGGAGCTCGTCGGAAAGCCAAGAAAGGCGGACCTGGGAAGCAAGAGCTCCGGCGCGACCGCCGACGAGTCCGAGCAGGTGCCTCGTAGGGGGCACTTCGGCAAAAGGCCAGATTCTTTAGTCATTGTAGTTGTATTACGTGGCCGCAGTCATCGGCAAGCGGCAAGATTCGCATGCTAGGAGTACCGCCCTTCCTTCTTGGAAAGCTTTGGGCCCGCTGCTGGACTAGCAGCCTTTGTGTCGCTTGGAGCCAACAACAAGGAGTCTGTCTTCAGCATGTTGCTTCATGGTAGTTCCGACGAGCAGTTCGGACTTGCGCGAACGGGATAGGCATGGAGAATCGGGGCACCCAAATCTTTAAAGAAGCGGAGCTCTGCCCTGACGCCTTGGGGCCCCAAGTGAGCTGCACTTCCCGTCAGGTTCGGTTTGGCACAGCAGACCTTCTTCTTCAAGGTCCTGCCATGTAGTTTTACGGCCAGGCCAAATCTAACCAGCACCCCGAGTAGCCCATGACTTCCGGTGATGGCGCCGTGACCTTTAACTCGCGGCGCCTCCGGGCTTGCGGCTGTCTGCGCCAGGCAGGCCGATCCCGACGGATGGAGCTGGACAAGGTTCGGCGGTTCTGTGCTCATGCGGGAAGTGGTGTGGATGAAGACTGCTTTTTGCGGCAGTGTGATCGTGTCGATGTGACCGAGAAACCTCAAGCCCGAACCCCAAAACCCTGAAGTTCATGTTTCTGATATTTCACGACCGCAGACTCTGCGTGCGCTGCAGCGGCGGCCGGAGGCGCACACTTCGGATGCAGCATTGAGGTAAAGTCGGTCACGATGTCCTGTGCTTCTTGAGCCTTGAGCCGACATACAGTATCGAACCTTTCGATCTCCGCCTGACGCTCTAAGTGGCTTGCTCCATGTCCCACCGGGCCAAGATTAGATGACCTTGCCGGTGCACGGAGGAGTCGGCTGAAGTGGAGGCTGCGCGCCTCCAGGGCCTGGAGCAGCATCTCGGCGTATGCTGATAGGATAGTGAGGTGATGTGAGCTGTCAGAACGTGGGCCCCAGAGGACCTTGTTTACCGACATGGAAGTCGATGAGTACCCGGTCGTGCTCGTGGTTGGTGCTGAGACCGAGACGGGGCAGGTCGTGCTGAGGCCTTTCGCAGGGGCTCAAATTCACTTGGAAACTAGCCGGGCGTCCACCGTCTACAGGAAGCTGGTGACCAGCGGGTACCCTTGCGTCGTCCTGAAGAGTGGCGACAACGAGGAATCCTTGGGAGCCTTGGCACAGTGAGGTGGTGGAGTAGCCGAGAAGCTTCAATGACGATGTTTTGGAGCCTTCCAGCCTACCCAGAGCCAGAGATCAATTGAGGAAGCGAACTGTCAGAAGGCACGAGCTACTTGACGGCTGCTCAGCAGCACTTTCTGGGACTTGCTCAGCCCACCCACGGCTGGCGCGCATCTGTGGCTGTCGTGGGGGTTGGTGCACGAGATACAGACAGACTTGGCTTTGCACTCTCAGATCCGTACAAGATGCCGTAGCATTCACTTTGTCCGCGGTAGTAATGATGCAACATGTCATGTGTTAAATGGACAGGAACCAAGAGTTTCAGCTTCTCGAAATGTTCTTGCGGATAAGTTTGCCTTGGTTATGCTGGCAAGCCCGGAATCCGGTGACTACTGACTCCTCGTGACCGGTCCCGAGCCCCAAAGAAGTGAAGCCTCGCCATTTCCGAGGTAACGGCTCAGACGCGTGGCTTCCTTGGGACTCGCAGCAACCCCGGCCGTCGCCTCGGATCAAACTGGAAGATGTGGTCGCAAGGACATGTTGGAACTTTTTTTTTTAGGAAACGTGTTGGAGGACTGAGCTTCAGATTATTTTCGCCCGGTTGCCGTGGCTTTGCAGGTCCGAGGGAGTCTCTCGGGACAGTCCCGGACAGCCTTTACGACGCAGCCGCCCGCCTGATTGAATTCGGAAGGCTGCCGTGGCCGCGAGACGCACCTCGTTCCCTCTCCCCCACGCTCAGGTTGCGGGAGTGGACAAGCTTGTCATCTGTGACTGCGACGAGCCCAATGAGGAATTTGGCGAGGCATAAAAGCCATTAACCCATGAAGCCATAAAGCTTTTAACTTTTAGCCAGTATTTCCTGGTTTTGTATCGCCGTGCGTTGAGCCAGGGCATGGGGAGTGACTCTGCCACTTTGGTTGCGAGTGCTGGCTAGCAGCGTGCGGAATGCTTGCTTAATTGATTTTTTTCTGCCACTTCGTGAGGTGGTGAGCAATGTGCTTCGGTCATGGCAACTCTACCGCAAGGCTCGGTCTAGCAAGGGCAAAAGTATGTTCATTGGTGGATGTGTGTTCGACCGGGGCGCCCTCCTGAAGAGCTCGCCGCCTCTTGGGGTGGGCAGGACTTCGCTGAGGAGCAGCGGGCTTTCAACAGCAAGGCACGCTTCTTCACAGTTCGTGAATGTAACGGTTCGGTTCGGTTCGGTTTGCGGATATGCGGTTTGGTTTCTGTTGGGTTCTTGCGGTTCGGGTCGAGGTTGCAGACAGTTCCGAATACATTCAGTTTACTCCGACCCGTAACATTCTCAAGCACACGACGGTCGTGACCCTCTGGTCTGGTCTTTCACTGTTTGAGGGTCTCCGGTGGCAGAATATCCATTTGGCATCATGTGGCTGTGTCTGTATAGTCTTTTGAAAGCCTTAAAATGCGGGGGAGTACAGAATTTGGCACGTTTGGGCGCGGGGCTGGGAGTGCGGCAGTACGCAATTTGGCAATTTAGACGTGCCAAATTCTGTACTCCGGCATGGGCCGGGAATGCGCGGGAGTGCGGTTTTGGATCTGAAGCTGCTGAAGCCGTACTCCCCAGCACGGTGAGACGTATGCGCCGGAGCACAGGATTTGATTTAGTTAGGTTTGTTTGGCGGCGTCCCTGCAGTGCGATCAACACAAGCGAGTACAGAATTTAACGCCTTTGGGCTTGGAAGTGCAGCATTCTGTACTCCTCCGAAACCCGGGCTGAAATCCGCGCGCGGCGCCGCATACACGGCGGAGCACAGAATTTGATAGGTTTGTTTAGTGGCTTCATCGTGTCTCTGCAGGGCGAGGACCGCGCGGGAGTACACGTTTAGTGCCTTTAGCTTTGGGCTTGGAGGTGCCACAAGTTGTATTCCCCCGCGAACGGGGCATGCTTGGGCCCCCGCGTGCGGCCCCTTTTGACCAGGGAAGTACAGATAATTGTGTGGATATAGTCTATACAAACTTACAGGAATACGCGGGAGATTCCAGAATTTGGCACGTTGGGGGGCGGGGCAGGAATGCGCTGCAGTACAGCTTTGGGCACGTTTGGATCTGCTTCAATCTTATGAACATGTGGCTTTGCGAGCTCCGAGGTGCAGGTCTTCAACTTCCAGCGGCAGACGGATTTCGAGCTGTGGGATCTGGAGCGACAGTACCCCTCAGACATGTCGCCAAGCTTGACTATGAAGGGCTGTCCTGCAGGTGGTATTTTCCGGTCTTTCCCAGAATCATTATCACGCTGCAAGGAAGCTGATGTGAATTACTTATTTACATGCAAGATATTTACTTGTTCTCCTGGTGCGTACAATAGCGATGCATTGGAACCTTAATATGTCTTGGCCAGGCACATGCCAGAATATGGACTCTCTGTCTTTTCTCGCATTTTGCTCTCTCTCAAGCTGGCCTTGTCGCCTGACCATGTCTTGCGTTGCGTGAGCGCTCGCGACGAGTATGTTTATGCCGCTGCTTCGCTGTTGTTGCTGCGGCCGATGCTGCTTGGATTGGGTTTGAACAGCTGACGCACTCTGTCTGGTCTCTGTGTCTTTTGTTGGTTCATGACGTGCTCGACCCTGCCTGACCCCCTAAACTCTTCTGTACTGTATTGTTCTCCAGAGCGCTGTCCCTTGCAGGTGTTATGGTGTCCAGCGTGCAGGCCTCGTCGTAGCAGCCTGGTGACACCGACAGGATCACTGTACTGGAATTGGTTCAGGTAGCATGTTTGGATCTGTTCCGAAGCTTTTGCAGAATTAGAACTGAAGTCAGTCAACGGTTAGCGGTTGGCGCTTGAAAGTCCGTTCGATTTCCGTTATCCTAAGTAGCTTGTTCTTTCGCGCAGGCTGGACGCGCAACTCGCGGGGGCCTCATTCAACCCATCACGAAAACTCGTGATTGAGACTTCATGGCGCCGGTAGTCGCCTTCCCATGTCCGACTTGCTGCGGCAGGTACGGAGATGCTCTGTTCGTTGGCCAATTCTTCGAGGCCAGGATGCTGACGGCTGCCTGTGAGGATTGTGCCAAGGGGACCAGCGGACCTTCAGAGGTAGCGCTTCGGCATATTCCGGCTCAAGCTGCAACCCACGTCCCTGTGGTACTATGGCCCCATGTCCGATCTGCAACATCTGGTGGCTACGCTGGTAAGCCGGTCCGCAGCCATCGCAGTGCAGCGGGCTCTAGAGCAAGCCAGCCCTTCGGAGTTCTCCCTTTCTGCCCTAAGTGAGGCTTGGTACGATGTCTCGGACACCGAGAACGAGGCAACTTGTGCCGTTTGCTTGGAGCGGATCCACGGCCCGGGCAGCAAGTTGCCCTGCAGCCACAGCTTCCACACTGCCTGTATTATGGCCTGGTACGAGCACCGAGCACGGAGGTGCCAGCCCCATTCCGTGCAATGCCCTGTCTGCAGGCAGCTTCATGCCATGACTTGCAGCCCACCAGCGCAGTAGTTCAAGGGTGCCAGCACGTCCTGTCCCAAGCCTCAGAGACCACGGTGTGGGCTGGCCAACGAACACAAACCCGGACGAATCTGAGGCGGGTAGCGGCTTAAAACTTGTTAATGAACGTAGCGTCTGCATTTCTGAGCAGTGCCTGATCTTTTATGGTAGTTTCGCTTTGCTTCTAGTTCGGCATGCTCAGTAGCCACGACGATTGAGATTGGACACCAAAAGAGTTCCAATGGGAGCCTTGATGCTCCACGGATTCGCGCGTGAAGTCGGCAAAATCCGTGAATTGTGGAGTTATTCCAATCGACGGGAGCAGGCCCACCAAGCACGTTTTCGGGGCATTTCCCTCCTTAGCATCCCGGTTGGCCTTTGATTCTCTATAGTGCTCAAGGACTCAGACTCTAAAATTTGGAAGCTAGCGGCACACCTCGAAACATCGCCACTCAACGACTCGAATCTTCAAGCATAAAGCCGACGTCCTGGACCTCGTGCTGGCATCGTGGTTGTACCCGGACTATCACGCGTTCCCTCAGCAAGTCTGCAAAATCTAAGCTACAACTTGAGAAGCATCTTGTGAACATGCCACAGTGGCTGGTGCATCCTGCCCAAGACTCGAGTTTCATGCCATCTCAACAGGACATGGGCCAATGCCAGCTCCGGTGCCTTGCAGAGCATGAAAGGGCGTCTCTGACACTGCTCAGCGATTGATGAAGTCCTCGATTCAAGTGGGGCATGTCGGTGAATCTTGGGTGCAGATTCCATGCCAGGCAAGCCAGGCGAAGATCTGGTCAAACATACATGTCGCCCCGGGCAGCTCTCTAGCCTCTGAATCTGGTTGTGTTCTTCTCGAGCTGTAGACCGAGAAACATACAGGCCCCACAGGCCAGAAAATGGGCTCGTCAAATGTCAAGACTGACAGCCGCTTCATTGCTAACCCTCGATGCAAGCCGCGCCAGGAGGACACACACACACACACGTACATACACTCTCATACATTGTACACACATAAACACATAGATGAATAAGTCACTCTAGATACATATATACACAGAGATGCTTGTATACGGTCATGCGCACCACAAGACTCTAAAACAGCCATTGCTTCAGTCGGCCGCATCCCAGGTCACCGAGACTGAAGCTGAACTTCTCCAAGTTCGGAGGGCTCATCGTCACGGTCTACAATCAGGCGGTCAATAACAAGCTACTTGGCACTAGTCGGCTCCGGAAACTCTTGTGGACACGGATGTGTGGCGAAAGCTTGCGGTGGCAGTTTCGATGCGCAGCATTGTGATCGATACTCCAAGGTTCTCATGGTTCTTGCGAACCTCGGATTTCGCCCCTGGGCTCATATGCTGTAGGTCCACTGTTCACTTGCTCAGAAGAGCTGGACGGAGCGTGGGTTTTGCGAGATTTCTGCATGACACCCTCCTCGACGCTCTATGCCTTATGTTGGTGGAACTTTCCATCTTCAGGAGCAGACGCGGGTTCAGTTCGAGTTCGACTTCGTGTGCGAGGCAAGCGGGCATAGGATTTTTCTGTTCCTGGTGCAGGGACGGAGCATGCGGCAGCTTAAGTCTGCCTCTGGTAAGGCCACTGATGCAAACAACGATTTGTTTCTTGTTACCTGTCTCAAGTCTCATTGCAGCTATGCAGGTTGTTCTTGTCGTTGTCGTTCGTGGAAGCCTGTTTCGATTGCGCGATTATTGTTGCATTCCAGCTTTCGACGGTGATCATAGCAAAGTCGCCATCTATTCTTGCGAGGTTTTGGCTTATTCCACACTCCTGCGATATTACTTGCTAGTGTGTGTCATTGCGTGCTTTCGTCAGGTTTTTGCGATTAGTGCATGTGTATCATTGCTGCTGTTTTGCATGTTTTGCCAAGCTTGTGTTGTCGATTCCGTCATGATACTGATAACCTGCTCGTGCTGCTCCACATTCCTCGGTATCGCCATCCTTGCCAGCATCATGATAAGTCTAATCGTCCAGATAATTTTTCCACCTTGTCCCGACTTCCAGCCCCATGTTCCCTGCCTGGCAAGGCTAGCTCCTGGTGTCACTGGGCAGACGTATTGGACCTGTCTGTGGTTAACGTTGTGCTCCGGAGGTCAAGGTTGTAGATCTCAGGCTTCGAGATTGAGAGTTGAGCCTGTTGCAGAGGGGGTGGGCAGGGGGCTAGACCTTCATGGAGTTTGAATGGCAACTGGAACCTCCCAGGCAAGTTCCGAATGCCTTTCAATGCCTTCAAGCCCGCCATGCCCTCGGTGGTTTCGAGACAGTACGTGCTTGGAGATGCGACCAAAATCAGAGGACTCGTCTTTACAAGGCAAATTATGTGCACTATTTAAATTGTTAGTTCACCACCTGGCTAAAGAGTTCAAGCACCCAATCTTGGTGTTGAACATTTCGCACCGATAGGTTCGAGCGGATGGCGTGCCCATTGACGACCCAGAGGACAGCTTGCTTTCTGGACATACCCGGATGCGCAAGCTCAAGGCTTCAGTATTTGGCGAGCCCAGATTGAAATCGGGGTGCCGAAACGGGTGGCATGGTTACATCAAGAACTTGTGAAAGAGGTGAACATATCTGCCGGTAAGTCATGCAACCGAAGTCTGCTCCATCAGGGGTTACGGAGAACCTCAGGGAGTAACATATCTTTCCAGGTGGGCCATGACTTTCCGAGCCGTGGGAGGGCAAGTTGCGAACATGTCATGGTCATGGAAGGCTCCTTGTGGCCGTCCCTAAACATGGTACCGACCTATACATGGGAAGCCGAGCAGTCGTTCCTGCTTCTTCGCAGGAGTTTCAGCTCCGACGGGAGGATGTGGTGCAGATGGGTGTTTCCTTCCGCACCGAGGGCGTTCCCGTGCAGTACAGAGGCCCTGGATTGCGGCCTGAGCAGTTAGTGGAAGTAGCAGCAAACAGCAGAAAGTTGTCGTTGTGGAGGTAGTGGTAGCAGCAGCAGCAGCAG